CAATCGTATAAATTATACGGAAAATTTGAGTACGATTTATCGATATGACTTTATTATTTATACTCGAAGAAAATTGAGAGGTAAAGCTATGTGAGGGTCATTTCCAAATTTTGCTAATTACATAATCAACGTCATCCTGGGATAGATTTAAAATCGTTGTTGCATTAAAAGTTTTAATCCGACCTATTATTTCCTTTCCACCAATATTATTAAAAAGTCTGAAAATCTTTTTATCTCTTTCTTTTCTTTTTCGAAGATTGGTCTCAGTAAGTTTATCTTGTGCAGAAATTTGTTTCCTAATTTTACCATCAACTCCTGCATTAGATGTATCTTCTCTATTACAGTATCTTTCCAAATCGAATAACAAAAATTGAATCATAGGTAATTTCCTAATAATTATCTTCAGCGTCATATAATTATAGATTTCAAAAACATTTGATTTGCAAAATAATAATGAGGTTTTTTGGATGATAGGAATTTCTTGATTTTGTTATAAAAGGAATAATACTCAGAGATGGGGTTCATTTACTGTACATACTTTTGTGGTACATTAATTGTGATACGTATAGGATTTCTTATTTCGATGCTCCGTTTCTTCATTTTCATCCAAATCCATATGTTTATTTTGAGATAATTTTACAGAATTAATGTCAACATTACTGATAAATTCATTAACGAGTCAAAGTGCTACTTATTTGAGAAGATACAGAGTCTCATTTTGATGTAAAATTTTACACTCAAGTGTAGTAAACACATCATAAGTGATTTCTAAAATATTTTCCGTTGCTTTCCCTACTTATACAATCTCAAAACTGTTATATAATCCGAAACCAAAAAAGTAAATATAAGAACACTTTTATTTATTGGTATAGCGTCTAACAAAAATAGAACAGTTATTGCTGTACATATATGGGAAACTATCGTTACGTTATTTTCCGTAAATATTTTAATTTGGGTTCTTTTACTGGACGGAAAGTTATCAACACTGGTTTTATCTTTTTATTTACCCCACGATGACACTCAACACCTTTTCGGATGGAGTCAAAATCTTTAAGTGCCGGCCGTTTTGGAAAATTTTGATATTTGCTTTACTAGTACAATAAAGATCATCGCTGAATTGTAAATCGCAACAACTTACAGAATATGCTTCTAACAGTTTCTTTAGTAAAATCTTGTTGCTTATATACATGGTCACTCAAGAGCACCCGAAAATTTTAATAATATTGACTTTCTAGTCGGATAAAAAAAATAGTTATATGAAATAAATACGAAAAATAAATACTTTTTTGATGAATCATAATACTATAATATAAGCCATAAAAGGATCGAGAAACTAAGTATAAGATACGATACATAATTTTGCTAATACAAATAATAACGGCCAGTAATCCCTCTGGTATGAAAAACGTTCATAGTTAATTGAGTTCCTGGCTCACCAAGGGATTGAGCGGTAATAATTCCAACTGCTAGTCCTAAATTTACTGTTTGATAAGATAACTGTGTAATAATTTCTAAAGAAAACGTTTACTTAAAATTTGAGTCAGATTAGATTCATTCTCAGCCAAAGCACTAATAATTGTCGCAACTCCTTTAAATCCTTTTTTTAAACGTTTCCTTGCTATATTTGGCTTTCTTAATATAAGATATGCACCAGAAGTCATTAGATCATATGTCGAACCAATTACGGGCGTAAAAGAAATAATACTTTCCAATCTTTTTTCAAGTAGAGGTGCGTATTCAAGAACGTCTAATTTAACACCTTTAAAATTATTGCCTTTAAAAAATTCGATCAGTCTCCTTTTGCTGTCTTGCCTTGTTGATCGTTCGAAATTTTGTCTAGTCTCATTGGAACTATCACTAATGGGAAAATCGACTCCAAGGATTGGAGAATTTCCAAAATATTCTCGTAAATCAGACATGTTTTTTTGTACCCACTA